TTTGACCAATCAAAATTTAAGATCAGGTGTCAAAACAAACGTGTTTTGTTTTCTAAGTAAAAAAGTTACACGTAAAATGAAAATCAAGAAAACCGTGTTATAATGAGGGTTAGGATTAGAACAATATACTGTTTATTAGTAAAACATTATAAACATTTTCAATTAGGCCGCAGAAGGTGGTTTTTTAATTAAAATTTAAAGTTATTGTTTTTTTGTAAAAAAAGTTTTTGCTTTAATTTTTATGTTACACCTGATTCTGAAATTCGATTGGTCAAAATTATAGGGAATGAACAATTTTTTGTAGAAGGGCTAGAGGCGTTTGAAAAATTTATAGTACCGGATAGTCTAAGATATTCACTTTTATTTTATTATTAAAAAAGTGTTAAATTTAAGTAAGGACAGTATAAGATATCAACTTTTTATTAAAAAGTGCCAAATTTAAGATTTTTATTTAATTTTAATTGGTTTAACTAATATAACACAAAAATATATATATAAATTAGATACCAAATTTTTAATTTATATATAAAATAAACAATATTTAAACTTATTGTAACTAAAATATTTGGTTATAGGGTAGGTTTAGGTTTTTGTTAGAAGAAATTCAAGACGAAGAGGTTTTTATTTGTATAAAATAGGACTTGAAGTGGTGGATGATGCCTTTTTACAAGTCTTTTACAAACATTTTTATAATTCTAAGAAAGCTAATTTACTAACTATCTATTCTTTAAACTAGTCTTTCTAAAACTATAATTCTTTCTTATTACAAACCTGTTTTATGTTAATTACTATTCTAACGATGCTATACATAATGATCATATGCATAACAATAATAAAATAACAATTTTGTGCAAATAGAAAAATAAATAAATAAGCAGTGTTCATTAGTCTGTCAGTGTCATGTGATCATTATAGTGCATCGTGATCACATGATTGTTGTAGTGTGTAACGTTTACTACGGTCAACCTTATAATTAAAAATAAAAAAATCTTTTTACAGAAATATAGTTTTGATTACAAACTATTAATTTGTAAAAAAGTTTTTGTATTTAATAATTTTTTGTCAAATTATATTATTTTTAAAAAATCTATTAAAATAGAATATTTTAGACTATCTAGTACTGTATATAAAATTATATAATCTATTTACTTTTATAAAATATATAAATAAAAATTAATTGATTAAATGAATAAACTAGTTTGTTCCTATAAATATAATTATTTGATTTGTATTTTTTGATTTTTTATTGACTAATAACTCAAAATTTTAAAAATATTATCAAAAATTTTTCAAAATGTAATTACAAGCCAATCATAGTTAAAGATCAGATATAATATAATACTAATATAATATAATTAAAACAATTATAAGATTAAAGTTCTATAGCTTAGTAATTTAAGCATCTATCTTCTATAGCCAAGATCTTTGGTTTAAGTTCTACTAGTAGTTTCTAAGAGTATTTAAATATAGAATTTGTAGAAATCTAAATAAAGTACAAATTTGGTTTAAAAATTTTCAGAAGAGATCTATTATAGATAAGAAGAATATTATATATAATAGCGATATTACAGAAGATTTAACAACAAGAAAATTGCATGAATAAATCTTGCAGATAGTAAAGTAATACTAACAACCCTAAAGTATACATGTTGATGAAATTATTTTAGGTTTCAGGTACAAAATTAAAATTTGAAGACGAAATTGTTTTTGACCTATTTTACTTAAAAGACAAAATTTTTTGATATTTTTTTTAAAGAGACGAAATTATAAAGAATATAACTATTTAAATTAGATTTGCTTTTGCATATAAAAATTTTAAATTGCTCTAATAGAGACAATATAGGGTTTTTTTGAAAACCTATTTCGGTAGCATATATACCCTAAAGTGATTTTAGAATTTTGATTTGAGAGAATAATACAACTATAGTACAAACTAAAGTAGTGAGAAAAGTAGTAAATATAAAAGGATCTGTGATAAAGAATTAGTCTAATCAAATAAAAAACACCTCTGGCAATTTATATTAATATAAAGTACTTAGTATAGAGAAATATTACAGAGTATATGTGTATATATAAAAAACTTATATATTATCAATATAAGTTGCACTTAATTAGAAATTTCTGATAAAATATAAGACCAATATGGATATATCAATTCTAAAATACCAACCTATATAGCTGCAAGTTAAAAAAAATATTATTATATAAAACTTGATTAGAAGTAGCTCTACTAGTTAAAATTATATTTATATCTAGGTCTATACCAATTTGAAGAATATTTAAATAGATATACTATACTGTATATATATTTAAATAATAAGTTTATCACTAAAAGAGTATATAGATTAATTAGATAATTAGAAAAATGGTTTAAAAATTTACCTAAGTAGGATTCTATATACAGATAGGTATATATATTAAGTTAAAAGTATTTAGATATTATGGCAAAAAAATTCTACCAATTTGGTAGTTTATATAGTATATAAAGAATATATTAAATATAATATAATAGTATAAAAATCTTTATATATACTAAAAATAGAGTTAGATAAATCAGGTAGAGATATAATAAAATAGTTTTATAGTGTGCAACAAAAGTCTTTTCACACCTAACAAAAATTTTTCAAAATTATGCGTAGTATCACAAAATTTCTTGTATACAAAAAATATTATGAGTATAATTATCTATACATTTTACAAAATAGTAAACCATCTATATTATATACTACATAATTACAAATTTTCACATATTCACAGAATACAAAATCACAAATATTTTTGAACAGATATATTTCGATAACAACTTAATTAACTTTGATGTTTGAGAATTATTTTGAATTCTACATGTATCTAGAATTCAAAAGAGTCTTTAAATATCAAAATTGATCAAGTTGTTGTCGAGATATCTTTATTCGAATATATAAATAGATCTAATAATTAGGACATATTAGTTGGAATTTTATCTAAAAACTTAAATACACATATCTCAACAATAATATGTTCAATTTTAATATATTAAGACTCTTTTAAATTCTACAGCTTTGTAGAATTCAAAAGTATCCTTAAATATTGAAGTTAATTACTTTATTGCTGAGATATTATTGATAGAAGTTTGCTAAAAACAAAATTTTATTAAATTTTTTAACAAATTTCTAGTATTAATATTTTGACAATGAAATAATTAATTTTGGTGTTTAAGAACTCTTTTGAATTTTACGAAATTATAGAATTTAAAAAGCTTTTAAGCATCAAGATTGATCATATCATTGTTGAGAAAATTTTATATAAAGCTTAAAAAAAAATTTATTCAGTAACTATATATTTGGGCTTATATATAGTTATGTGATAGATATCTAATAAAAGAACTCATTGACCTGTAAAAATTATATAGATCTGTATTTAAGATCTTTTTTGCTTACAGAAAGTTTGGAGATACTACGCATGATTTTTGGAGAGCTATGAGTGTGGAAAAACTTTTGTCAAGTACTATAAGCTAAAATTTTACTAGTTATACTATAGTTATCATATAATTTGTAATTATAATATATGTAATAAAGATTTAGACAAAAGATACCACTTTTAAAAAAATAAAATAATAAATAAAATAAAAAGAATAAATATATATATAGCTCTTAGCTATATATAAATTTGTATAGCCAGAATATAATAGCCAATCAGATTATAGTGTAACGTATAAATTGAATAATAAGATTCATGTAACATTAGATTTTCTTATAAGAATTTTTACCTTTAATTAGATCTTCTTTAACTTAATACTTTATAGCAAAACGAAAAGTATAGGTGCCAGGATGTGTAATTAACAAATTGGTTATTTGTATTCTAGTTGATATTTATAAGGTCTCAATAAATTTCTGTTTTGTACTATATAACGAAACTAGCCACAGTTTTTTTCGACATTCCTTCCTTTTTGTGCTTCTACTTTATGACAGTTTCTCATTACAAAATAACAAGCATCTGACGTTTAACAAACTCTGACTTCTTTACATTCTAATATAATTAGCAAGAATGTTACTTTAACTTTGTTGAATCTTAATGAAAATCAAATCAGCTTTGAAGGAGTAAAAGGACTAGTAGAAGTCTTTTTATACAAACATTTGAACATAACTTTTCTGAGTCTTTATAATTTTTTGGTTCTGAAGGAAAATAAATATTAGTGAATGTTCTTTATATACATACACTGACTTTTTTAAACAACCTGGTTGTAACAGAATGTTTAATGAAGCGATAAACAATAGTATATTAATGCAAGATATTTATAATCAAGAAGGTCTGATGATGCAAGATAATAGTTTATTTGTAATACTGTCTGGCTCACTTCAAACATATAGTGAACAATCAGGTAATATATCGAGTTTTTTTTGAATAAACTACTATCAATTAATACAAAGAATATTTTACTTACCAACTTCGTTTAATAAGGTTTGATGAATTCAGATTTAATAATAGATAATGAAACATTAGATAATTCAAGTTTGTTTATTAGCTTGTGAATTAGCTAATAGTGTATTAAGGTACAAGAATATTTTACTTACAAGGAATAGAACAAAACGAAGGCACAATTCTGGCTACTTACGATAAACTAATATTACATGTAATAATATATGAACAGTCAGATAGAACATCTAAATTACCCTTATCGGAACCACCTTTATTTGAATCACCTTTATGTGAACTACCTTTACTTAAATCACCTTTGTTTGAGCCACAAATTAAAGTATCAAAAGAAATTACCATTTTTGAACAATTTGAGCAATTTGAACGATCTGAACAATCTGAACAATCTGAACAATCTGGACAATCTGAACAATTTGAACAATCTGGACAATCTGAACAATTTTTCTCTTTAGTTGAAATTCCAAAAATTGGTATGAAGTTTGATTCATAGGAACAAATAAATAGATATATGGATGCTTATTGTAGTTCACAATATTTTTCAAAAATTATCTACAGAGTGGAATATGATGGTATAATGCGAAGACATTGTAGGTATCAATGTGAGTTTCAAGGACAGTATCATGGTAAAAAAAAAAATGATCACTAAAGAACAACGTAATACAAGATCTAAATATAATAAGTGCCCATGGTTTGTAAATACTACATATTCTAAAACAAGTAGTAAAATTAAGATTATCTCTGTTTCTTTAAAACATGGTGACCATCTTCTAAACTCTCTTGCCAATAAGTTTGGTACTGTATATAGAATATTGACTGAATTTATGTTGGCAGACATAGAGTTCTGGACTACCAAAAAAAACCTTAATATGTGTACACAGCACTAGCTACTTATGGCAAAGTACAAAAATGTATATTTTTTTACCTCAAGATTTATCAAATACAATCCAAAAAATAAAAAAAGAACAGAAAATTGAAGATAAAGCTGCTATTTTAATTACTCACCTTCTTGAACACAAGGCTGAAAATGTACGATAGGTTGTAAATTGGTATATAGATCTGTCAACAAATTTTTTAGCAAGCTTATTTTAGATAATACCAGAACAATACGATCTTTATACCTAATACAGAGATGTAGTGCAATATGACAATACTTACTTAACCAATCAGTTTAAAATAGCACTTGGACTATTCATAATTGTAGATAACAATAATAGGTCTCAATTGATTGGACAAACATTGATGGGCGATGAAATATCAGAAAGTTTTAAATAGGTATTTAGTTCTTTGGTTCAAGCTACAGACATTTTTTTTCTCTTCAGTTATTATAACAGATAGTAATCTGGCCATTAATACTATAATTGCAAATATAATACCAGATATATATCATATTCACTGTATCTATCATATTGAGCAGAATATTATAAAAAATCTAAAATCTAAATTGGGATCATAATATAATGAATTTTCAAAAGCATGGTATCAAATAAGAAATATGCTATTATTAGTTAAATTTGAATGCCTTTGGGATTCTCTGCTTAAAAAATATCCTAATGCGGTTCCTTATCTTAGTAGATCACTTGAATCTTAAAAAAAGCAATGGGTACTTGCTTATATTTCACGTACTTTTACGGCTGGGTTGCAATCTACGCAAAGAGTTAAGAGACAGAATGCAATAATCAAAAGTACAATTAATAGTCACACTTCAATTATTGAACTTTTTAAGAAACTTGATGCACACTTTATTAGTATATCTTCTACTATTCAATATTGAAATTGGTCATATTCTATAACTGATTCAACTCTTACATATACAAGCCACAATTTTTTATCTATAATTGATAAGTAGATTGTTAATTATCTAACACCTGCTGCTCTCTTCATGCAAAGACAAGAAATAGCTCAAGTAATTTGGTATATTTTACTGTTTTAAATCTTATTGATTTAAGATAATATATTGTGAATTAAATACTAATTTAGAACTATAAATTTGTATAGATATACTTCTCAGTTAGTAAATAAAGATAACACTCTTGAAATAGGGTATGAAGATGAATTACCTAGTACTAGTTTTGCAGAAGATACCATCGATGTTCCATTAATACTTCTAAAAGAGCTAATTTCAGCTAATCATTATGATGATGTAATTGAAATATAGGAACTTGTTTATTATTGACATAGTAAAAAGAATTATGTAGTTCTTTTTAATGATCGATCTTATCTTTGTACATGTTTTTGTCTGGTTCGATGTGGCATTGTTTGCTGTTATTTTTTTTACTTTTTAGAAAATTCAACACATGCAAAGTTTCATATGATTCTTGTTCCAAAGCATTAGTACAAAGATGAAAAACAAGTTAAACCTATTTCAACTCTTCAACAACAATTTTTTACTGATGGTTTTCAAGAATCTTCTGCAACAAATTTAGATGAAGTATTTTTAGAGATACCTTATAAGATCACTGATATTTCTTATGAATACGTTCATAAGTCTTTGAATTAACGAAAAGAATATATCAAAGCCAATAGACTTTCTAAAAAAGCAATTCAAATGGGATTAGATGCAGGACTTTTAGTGCTACAGAAGTTTAACAATTTTATGGAAAATTTTATAAAGAGACATATCCGAAACGTATATCTAATCAAGAATTAACTTACAAAAATATTAAAAAAAAGAAGAAATTGGTTAAGTCATACAATATATATTATGATTCTGACAATTCTAAAAATTCCAATTCAGATTATGCTAATGAATCATCCCAAAACTATGATGATATCGAGAATATAGATCTATCTTTAATTCAGAATCTTGTTGTTTATTCAAAAAAAGATACGCCATGCAAAACATGTTTTAAAAGATCTCAAGAATTAAAACCCAAGACTTCAGGACGAAAGCCAACAGAATGTTAACAATGCTATAAGTCTGGACATAATAAAGCTGGTTATGAAAAATAGCACAAAAAGAATCAAATTTCTTATCCTTTTTAAGGATATTTTTAAAGAACTACCCACATGCATTTTATTAATAATTGAATATTATATGTATTTGTATTCTATATTTATTGCATTAACGCTTAAACCAATTTAGTTATATAAAATTTGGTTATATATTATAATAAGTCTGCATCTTTAATTGATCTGGCCTATTTTGATTATCATAATATACTACCTTTAGATATTCAGTAAAATAGTACTGTACAACAGTACAGATTTGAATAGATATATAAAAGTTATACTAATATAGACTTGTAAAATTCGATTTTATTAGCAGTTAGATTAGGATGATTGCAAATATTGTCCTTATTGTCCTTATATACTAGGGTCAGGGCAGGTTTATAGAAAAAAGCTCTGATTTAAAGACTTTTTCTTTTTAAATTGTACATAGTATCATAATTTTCAGATGTTCATTTTCGTATAGTATTACTTTACTATATATATTATTTTAGTGATTAAGCAAAACTAAATTATATAGTACTATACCATGAGTATTAAATCGAGCTTTAATTATAGCAAACCTTATATCTTGTGAAATAGTTCACAAGATATATGGTTTACTATATTCAGATTCACCAAAATACTTCTATTTTCCTTATGCATCTTATAGCTTAAGCAAAAATAAAATCATTATACTCAGTATTTCCATATATTAGCATTAGTTACCTTTAATATCATTGAGTTATACAACTTTTTGACAGTACAACAGTATCATTATTTTGCTTTACGCTAAAGTTGTTGAATAGTATATTGTTAAATTCTTATAATATACTATAGCAATAAGAATTTTTTTTTTTTTTTTTTATTTATTTATTAAGGCCGATGCTACGGGGCTACTGCCTTTATTTGTGTTTTTAGTTAATGCATTACATATAACTTGTA